AGTTTATGAGTGTGTAATAAGAGAAAGAGTATTACCTTTAAGTATTAAGTATTAAGAGAAAGAGTATTACCTTTAAGTATTAAGTATTATATTAAGAGAAAAAGTATTAAGATTAAGTATTAAGTATTACCTTTAATTATTTGCTATTAAGTATTAAATATTAAGAGAAAGAGTATTACCTTTAAGTATTAAGTATTAAGTATTAAGAGAAAGAGTATTACCTTAAGAGAAAGATATTAAGTATTAAATATTAAGATTAAGAGAAAAGTATTTAAGTTAAGTATTAATTATTAAGTATTAAGAGAAAGAGTATTACCTTTAAGTATTAAGTATTAAGTATTAAGAGAAAGAGTATTACCTTTAAGTATTAAGTATTAAGAGAAAGAGTATTACCTTTAAGTATTAAGTATTAAGTATTAAGTATTAAGAGAAAGAGTATTACCTTTAAGTATTAAGTATTAAGTATTAAGAGAAAGAGTATTACCTTTAAGTATTAAGTATTAAGTATTACATTAAGAGAAAGAGTATTTTAAGTATTAAGTATTACATTAAGAGAAAGAGTATTACCTTTAAGTATTAAGTATTAAGTATTAAGAGAAAGAGTATTACCTTTAAGTATTAAGTATTAAGTATTAAGAGAAAGAGTATTACCTTTAAGTATTAAGTATTAAGTATTAAGAGAAAGAGTATTACCTTTAAGTTTACATTAAGAGAAAGAGTATTACCTTAACATATTAAGTATTAAGAGAAAGAGTATTACCTTTAAGTATTAAGTATTAAGAGAAAGAGTATTACCTTTAAGTATTAAGTATTAAGAGAAAGAGTATTACCTTTAAGTATTAAGTATTAAGAGAAAGAGTATTACCTTTAAGCATTTAAGTATTAAGTATTATTAAAGAGTATTACCCTAGATTAAGAAAAGAGTATTACCTTTTTAAGCATTAAGAGAAAAGAGTACATTTATTAAGTATTAAGTATTAAGAGAAAGAGTATTACCTTTAAGTATTAAGTATTAAGTATTAAGAGAAAGAGTATTACCTTTAAGTATTAAGTATTAAGTATTAAGTATTAAGAGAAAGAGTATTACCTTTAAGTATTAAGTATTAAGTATTAAGAGAAAGAGTATTACCTTTAAGTATTAAGTATTAAGTATTAAGAGAAAGAGTATTACCTTTAAGTATTAAGTATTAAGTATTAAGAGAAAGAGTATTACCTTTAAGTATTAAGTATTAAGAGAAAGAGTATTACCTTTATTGAGAAAGAGGACACCTATTTAAGTATTAAGAGAAAGAGTATTACCTTTAAGTATTATATTAAGTATTACATTAAGAGAAAGAGTATTACCTTTTAAGTATTACCTTTAAAGAGAAAGAGTATTATTTAAGTATTAAGTATTAAGAGAAAGAGTATTAAGTATTAAGTATTAAGAGAGTAGCTATTGTTATTAGACATTAAGTATTAAATATTAAGTATTAAGTATTAATTATTAAGAAGAAAGAGTATTACCTTTAATTAAGTATTAAGTATTAAGAGAAAGAGTATTACCTTTTAAGTATTAAGTATTAAGAGAAAGAGTATTACAACTAAGTATTAAGTATTAAAAGTATTAAAGTATTAAGTATTAAGAAAGAGAAAGAGTATTACCTTTAAGTATTAAGTATTATTACCTTTAAGTATTAAGAGAAAAGAGTATTACCTTTAAGTATTAAGTATTAAGAGAAAGAGTATTACCTTATTAAGTATTATAAGAGAAAAGTATTACCTTTACATTAAGTATTAAGTATTAAGAGAAAGAAAATTACCTTTAAGTATTAAGTATTAAGTATTAAGAGAAAAGAGTATTACCTTTTAAGTATTAAGGTATTAAAGAAAGAGTATTACCTTTATTAAGTATTAAGTAAAGAGACACTTAAGTATTATATTAAGTATTAAGAGAAAGAGTATTACCTTTTAATTGTTAAGTGTTAAGTATTAAGTATTATTAGAAGAGTATTACCTTTATTTAAATTATTATAAAGTAAGAGAAAGAGTATTACCTTTAAGTATTAAGTATTAAGTTAAGAGAAAAGTATTACCTTTAAGCATTAAGTATTAAGAAAAGAAAGATTACCTTTAAGTGATAAGTATTAAGTATTAAGTATTAAGAGAAAGAGTATTATAAGTATTTTTAAGTATTAAGTGATTGCTATTGTAACAAGAGAAAAGAGTATTACCTTTAAGTATTAAGTAATAAATTAAGTAATAATAAAGAAAATACCTTTAATTGTTATATTAAGTATTAAGAGAAAGAGTATTACCTTTTAATTACAAGTATTAAGAAAAGAGTATTAATTCTAAGTATTAAGTATTAAGAAAAGAGTATTACCTTTAAGTATTAAGTATTAAGTATTAAGAGAAAGAGTATTACCTTTAAGTATTAAATTTAAGTATTAAGAAAGAGAATTATTACCTTGCTTTAAGTATTATTATTAGTAATAAGAGAAAGAGTATTAACCAAGTATTAAGTATTAAGTATTAAGAAAGAGTATTACCTTTAAATATTGCTATTAAGAGAAAGAGTATTAATATTACATTAAGAGATATTACCTTAAGTATTACCTTATGCATTATTATTAAGAGAAAGAGTACTCTTTATATTAAGTATTAAGTATTAAGAGAAAGAGTATTACCTTTAAGTATTAAGTATTAAGTATTATAATAAGAAAAGTATTACCTTTAAGTTATTAAGTATTAAGAGAAAGAGTATTAAAGTATTAAGTATTAAGAGAAAGAGTATTACCTTTAAGTATTAAGTATTAAGTACATTAAGAGAAAGAGTATTACCTTTAAGTATTAAGTATTAAGTATTAAGAGAAAGAGTGATTTACCTTTAATTGAAGTATTAAATAAGAGAAAGAGTATTAAGTATTAAGAAAAGTATTACCTTTAAGTATTAAGTATTAAGTTAAGAGAAAGAGTATTAAGTATTAAGAGATTAAGTATTATGAAAGAGTATTACCTTTAAGTATTAAGTATATATTAAGTATTAAGAGAAAGAGTATTACCTTTAAGTATTAAGTATTAAGAGAAAGAGTATTACCTTGAAGGTTAAGATGGAAAGTATGTACTGTTATGTTATTTTGTTGTTTCTTTCATGGATAAACTCCTGGTACTTTTCACTGGTACCTTTTATGATGTGTACAATTTCTATGCACCCTGATACCTTGAAATATTTTGCATCTCTCCTATTTTATCATGATAATTCTAGAAAACATTTTTATATAGCACCTCAATAGGAGGAATCAGTTATCAAGACTCACCTGCCTGGCAGTGCAGATCAAAGTACAAATTTCATAACTTTCAATTCAGTGATTTAAAAATCATGAAATTAATGAATAATTACTTTAAATATCAAAGTGAGCTCACGCAAAATTCCAAGTTTCTTTACAATTTCAAAAATTTTCTTGAAATACTCTTTGTTTTTTTTTTCACAAATAAAGGCTTCTTTTTTAATTTTGATGAATAAAGAAATAGAATCACAAAGAGTAATGATATCAGAATAAGGCTTAACTAATGGATAAAATGACCTGTAAATTTAAAGGTCAAGGATATCAGGAGAATTTGGAATCTAGTGTATGTATCCTGTTTTTCTTTTATCTTTAAAGACTCAAAGGCATCTTTCTGTTTCTTTAATGGCTAAAAAGTAGGGAGTTAGAACAAGGAGAGGTAAATTGGGATCATTCTCACTAAATGACTGTTATTAGCTTCTTCACCTTTTTCTATGCATCTTCAACCTTCTATTTACACATTTCTATTTTCACTTTCACTTTCTTTAATCTACTCGAATTGTAAAAATTGATAGCATAGTCTGAATTAATCTTTAATTTTGGGCTCAGCTGTAGGCATTGTCAATGTTAGAATAAAAAGAAAATAATAAATAGAAGGCCTAAAAGAAGAAATGTTGCTGGAGAAAAAAAAAGGTTTAAACAGACAAACATGTTATTTGTCTAAGATTTAAACTTTGTCTTTTCTTTCCAAAAACTTGTGGTGACTCAGCATGACTTACACATACTTTCCAATGCGCCCGCTCAACTCAATCACTTTGATTAACTGACTGCCTGTTTTCAAAATCTCTCCTCCTTGTTTACCTCTCGGTCTGAATCAATTATTGATGGACCTTTCATGGATTAACCAATGATGTATATGAGGCCTGCCCGGAAAGTATCCAGCCATTTTGAATGAGTAGAAAACTTGAGAACCAGTAGTGCAGCCTTAATGCAGTTTGGTAACTCACCAGAGAGCACATTACTGCATCTGCAGGATCAGGCATTGTTCAGTGAAATTGGTTCAGTCACAAAATAAATGCCATTGAGTGGCCGTCTACATGGTCTTTATGTAACTTTCCAACCAAATTATAGAGATGTTACTCTACATGTGGGAACAGTCTCCCATAGAGTCATTCAGTTTACAGTGAAATGCCAGCGAGTGAAATTGTATACTGTCTAACCATCACAATCTTGTACAAAGTTTTTTCATACATTGTCACCTTACCTAGATTTCTCAGTCTCCATACAGACCAAACTTGGCTTTTTGTGTCTTACTTTGCCAAAAGTTAAAACTGCTTGAAAAGAAGATATTTTAAAACTTGAATAATGTTAAAATTAAAGAGAATGTAACAATGGTGGCAATTCTGAAAGAGTTCTTGCAAACTGTTTTGAAAAGTAGAAAGTTTTGTTTTTGTTTAGCAGCATATCAACACCTATATGGGTTATTTAAGGCTGAAATCTAAATATTTTGTACACAATTTTTATTTTAAATTTTTAGAGATAATAACAGTTTTAGTAACTGAAGTTTTATTAATTAACATTTATCTGGTGGTGGGAGTAAGAAGAGGTGGAGTTATACCTTTCTCAAAGATATTTTTGCATAAGTGAATATAACGAACCCAACTGGAATTGGAAATCGGCTCTTTGATTAACAATTCCGAGCCATTATCCATTGCACCACCCGCACATCCAAACTTACAGCACCCAGTATTACTAAGCAGTCACCCATCTAGGTACTGACCAAGCTTGATGTTGCTTAACTTCAGTGATCATATGGGAACCAGTGCTACAACATGATGTGTCCGTAAGCCAAAAATAGAAAGGACATTGGGATTAAGGAGAATACAATGAAACTGCTGAAGGCAATCCTGAAAGAGGGCTTTGCAGACTGATTGTAAATGTATAACAGATATGTATGTAAGATTGCAAAGAGAATAATTAACTTGTTAACAAAGAATTAATGTCAACTGACCGGATCTTTCATGGACATAATCTGTATTAACATTGATTATTTTACTTTACTGAACACAAAACAGAAATATCACAGTTTCCATTTTGGGAAATACATCTGTTTGATGCTTTGGCACACATCATCATGTTTTTAGTAAAGGTTCTTTACGGGTTTCGTCTCTTTCAACATCATACCCCCTCTCCACAGTGATCCAGCCGATACTGATCAGGTATCAACTTGTGTGCCATCCATCAGCTATAACGAACTATATAACTATAAAAGATTCAACTGTTGCTTAGGCAGGAATTAAACATAGATTACAATTGACTCTAGTCGTCACAGACCAGAAATCAAATGACTATATTTCTTTGATACAGATTCATTAGAATTGCAACAATTATTTCTACAGGTGATACAATAAATAGACTTTTCAAGCTTCTTCTTCTTTATTTTCTTCTTCTTTTTCATGTTCCTTCAGGATATGGGTGATCAGGGCTCTCTACGACTTCTTAAGTCTTAGCAAAGTTTGTCTTTTTACTATCCCTCTCAGTCCCTGTTCTAACATACATTTACACAAGTAGGGGTCACTTGCTGTTTCCCTCTGCACCTCTTGAATACAATATGCCCTGTGAGTGTCAAATTCCCCAGGCCCTCTCACTGTGCATCCCAGAAATTTCAAATGTCCCTTTTTGTTTCCATTTTTTCCTAATTTTTCCTCCTTGTCCTTGTTCTGCCGTCTTTTTTTTTTTTTATTTCTTTGTTGCTGATATGCTATGGTATTCTCAGTATCCTTCTGTAGGTCATATCTCTGTTACTTCGTCTTCTCTTCATCACCACCTTGCTTTTCTTTTGCTTAATGACTTGGTAAGATAGTCATTTACTTGATCTTGGCATATGGTTAAATTCATACTAAAAACAGTTTCTTATTTGATCCCAGAACTTAAGCAGTGTCAAGCCCAGGCAGTATTTAGATGGGTGACTACTTGGGAAATCTGGGTCCTGTAAGCAATCTCCTTCAATCTGAAAAATGTTTTGGCTTTAAATAACTCACAAAGGATTAATAAGAAATAAATCAATCAATGAATCAATCACTTGATCCTGATGATCATTAACACTTTCCCTGGCATAGATATGTATATATGTTTTTACTGAAAGTGTCTTTTTCAGACATGGACAAATAAACATATCCAAAACATAACATTTAAAAACCAGCTACAGACATGTTTATACATTGATTGTGATTCTTTTTATGCCCTTATGAACATGAAACAAGTCCAATTGTTAACTCATTTATCTGATAGAGGTGTCAGCCACTGATCAGGTACTTCAAGGTGCCTCAGTTTCTTAATAACTATATTAAAAACAAATCATAATAATTCATCTGAAAATGAAACGTTTTTCTCAAAATGAATGGCAGCAAATGAGTTGACTTGAACAGTGTTCATTAAGTGCATATTCAAGACTTGGTTGGAGGCAGTATATTTTCAATTCATGCTATCAAAAATGAATACTAAAAAATACTCAAATTAATAATGAAAATGAAGATTCTTATAGCTATCATTACATGGTGTAAATACACAACAAAAAATTAAAAAAATTAATAATTTACTATTAATTAATAATACTAAGTGATTTATAAAACTATTATGTCTGTAGTAGGTATAAACAAACAGGAACAGATATAAACAGAATTAAAAATTACTACAAATAAAAATGCTTCATCTAAACTTAAGAATCTTATGTCTATTAACAGTTGAATTAAACAAGAAACAACAAAAATGACATGAAAGAAAAACAAAATATGAATTAATAATGAAAATGCTTTAATTTGAGACTATTACATCTACTAATAGGTGGTAACAAACGACAAAAATAAAAGGAAACTAATGGATAAGATTTTGTTATAAATATAACATGACACCTAAAAGATGGTACAAGATTAGTGAGAGGGAAGGTAAAATTGTGAACAGTAAAGAAATATTAAACCAAGAATTATTATTTCATCTGCTAAGCAATTTTATTTTTTGCTTTTTATATATCCAACTAAGAAATTCCATGAATGAGATAGATAGATAGATAGATAGATAGATAGATAGATAGATAGATAGATAGATAGATAGATAGATAATGAATGAACACATAGATAGATAGATAGATAGATAGATAGATAGATAGATAGATAGATGAACAGATTGAGATAGATAGATAGATAGACAGATAGATAGATAGATAGATAGATAGATAGATAGATAGATAGATAGATAGATAGATGAACAGATTGAGATAGATAGATAGATAGATAGATAGATAGATAGATAGATAGATAAGAATTAATGAACATATTGAGATAGATTGATAGATAGATAAATAGATGAACAGAGTGAGATAGATAGATAGATAGATAGATAGATAGATAGATAGATAGATAGATAGATAGATAAGAATTAATGAACATATTGAGATAGATTGATAGATAGATAAATAGATAGATGAACAGAGTGAGATAGATAGATATAGATAGATAGATAGATAGATAGATAGATAGATAGATAGATAGATAGATAGATATGAAGAAACTGAAATATGTAGATAGATAAATAGATGCGAGCAGACTGAGATAGCTAGATAGATGTGAGCAGACTGAGGTAGGTAGGTAGGTAGGTAGGTAGGTAGGTAAGCTAATTTAATCAATAAACACTAGAGCAAAATAAAAATTAGTAGGAAATTGGAAATTTGCAGACATTGCCTCCATTTTCCTGAATGCAATACCTTCTATTGTTACCATTAACAGACTTGGAATTGTAGGAAGTATCATTACTTTTCAAGACCCCATTCAATAGCCGGACCTCCTTGAGAGTGGCTTGTAAATAAACCTGAACATGTTTCAAAGGCGAAACAAGAGGGGAGTCAGAAAAACACTTATTACTTGAAAATGAGTCCTTATCTATTTCTTTTGTTGTTCAGCAAAAGAGTGGAAACAAGAATCTCTTGTTAACTTCCTCAATTGTTGCTGGAATGTGATAGGTTTGTGTGCAGCTCGAGTGAAATCGTTTGAGGATCTTTAATGCCAACTTTTGTTGATTCAAGATTGAGAAAAGGTTGAAAAGAATTTCAATGTCAGATTCAAACCAGCAGCATGACTCCTCGTTACTATTGTCATAATTCTGTGATTGTGATGGAGGCGACTCTATGCTCATCTTAATTGGGAGTAGAGGGTGTGGATTTTATCATCAGATTATGATCTGTATTATGATAGGAAAGAAGGAGAACTAGTTAAAAAGACAGAAAGAAAGAAAGAATCTTGGTAGAAAGAAAGGAAGGATTTAAATACAGAGAAAGAAAGAAAGAAGGAAAAAAAGGATGAGTACAAAGAAAGGAATAAGTCAGATACAGAGAAAGAAAAAAGAGGCTAGTGACAGGGAAAAGGAAGGAGTTATATACAAAGACAGAAAAAAAAGAAAGAACGAAAGAAAAAGAGGGTAAGTACAAATGAAGGAAAAAACTAAGTAAAATGAAAGAAACAAAGAATGAATGAATCAATGAATTAATGAAAGAAACAAAGAGGTCAGATACTAAGAAGAAAAAAGAAGCAAAGTACAAAAAAGGGGGAAAGTAAGAAAAGAAAGAAAATGGTTAGGTACAAAGAAAGAAAGAAAGAAAGAAAGAAAGAAAAAGAGGATAAGTATAAATAAAGGAATAATTTAGATACAAAGAAATAAAGAACAAAAGGAAGAAAGAATCTAGAGACAAAGAAAGAAAGAAAGAAAGAAAGAAAGAAAGAAAGAAAAGATAAGTATAAATAAAGGAATAATTTAGATACTAAAAAAGAAAGAACAAAAGGAAGAAAGAATCTAGAGACAAAGAAAGAAAGAAAGAAAGAAAGAAAGAAAGAAGCTTCATACAAAAATAGATAGAAAAAATAGAAATTTCCAACTAAATCCTTTATTTAATCAATGCGGGTAAATTATTCTCCTTCTGTCAAAGTTTTGGGATATCTCATCTTGTTCTTTTTTAGCTCAGTTATTGCTTAGCCTGTTTCCACAGTGACTGAGTCTGTACTACCGAGCCGAGAGATTGAACTCATAATTATTATGCCACCAAATTCAGAAACCAACACTTCAACTGTTCCACACTAATATTCTCTATAATTTTAAAATTACTCAATCTGAATTGACACTTTGTTAGCACATTGATACTGATTAGTTTATGTTCAAGTTCCACTATTAGCTATCTTTCTTTATCAATTATTAGTGGAATTGTCCATGAATAGATTCCTAGTAGAGTGCATTTCCTTTTGTCAAAGACCACCATCTCAGTATTTCTCACTTAAAGATTTTCAGTTTACTTAATCACTAAAACCTTAGAAAAGGATTTTGAATTCTCAGCATGTTGTCAATCAGTGGTTGTTAATGAGCCTTAACGAGGACATCAAAGACACCAAAAGACTTTACATGCATAATATTGGCATTGCAGGGTGCAACAGATCACTAGCTCTTTGAAACCATGACTGGTTGTTGACTGTTGTCAAGTAGGTAGCCATTTGGAATTAAGTACTCAATAACTGGATAATTAATGAACATTGATGAAGCACCAAGGGAGACATTGGTACCGTTTTATGTAGTTCCTTTTCAGGATGACTGAGTGACATTCGCTGTGTCTAAAAAATTTCCAGTCATTCAGTATTAGTGAAAAATAGACATTGCGATCAAAAATTAGTCACAGAAATCCAGAGGCACATTGGAATGGTAAAAGATGCCTTCCAAGAGCTAAACAAAGACTTAAGAGGCATGACAATTACATTGAATTCAAAGTTGGCATTCACCTAGTCTGTTTGCCAACCAAGGCTAGAAAGCTC